TGATAGGTGACCATAGGAATTGCCTTCCAGGCGTCCATCACAGCTGAAGTGAGTGCTTGCAGTGAGGATGGTCGATTTGGCTGGCTACGTAATCTGCGCTCTAATTCGTCCCAAAGGTGTTCTATGGGATTTAGATCGGGGCTCTGAGAAGGCCAGTCCAGTTTTTGAACACCCATTTCGTCAAACCACGTCTGTACAAGCCTCGATGTGTGAATGGAGCAGTTATCCTTCTGGAAGAGAAATGGGCCTTCTCTCCGAAATATTGCCATACAGTTGGGAGAGCAGCATTGTCCAGAATGTCCACATACATCTCAGAGTTCATGTTTCCAATCACAGGAACTAACGGACCCAGGCCCAACCACGAGAAACCCCTCTCCCACACACACCATTATGCTTCCACCACCAAACTTAACAGTCGGCACAATGCAGTCACTAAAGAAACGTTTGCCGGGCATCCGCCAATTTAGACGCGTCCATCCGACTGCCAGACTGTAAAGCGAGATTCATCACTCCAAAGAACAGTTTTCCACATGTTCACAGTCCAATGACGGCGAGCTCTACACCATTGCAATCGATGCTTCGCATTCTTTGGACATGTTCGGCTTGTGAGCGGCTGCACGACCATGGAATCCCAATTTTTTTAACTCTCGACGGACAGTCCTGCTGCTAATACTAATTCCTGGTGAACTTTGGAACTCCTGAGAAATTTCCGGCTACGAGGACTTGCGATTTTGTTTCACTACCCTTTTCAGAGTTCTGCAGCTGCATTCACCAAGTATTTTAGGCCTACTGGTTCGTTTTTCTGCCGTTTCACTCTGCCTCGACATTTCCACTTCACAATTACATCACTCACAATGGATTTAGGCTTCTGTAGAATGTCCACAATCTCACGAACTGATTTCCCACAAAGGTAGCATCCCACTATTTTAAATGCACTTTTTTTAAATGCCTTTACATTGATCTATTTTCGATCTATTTTAAATATTATTTTAAGATATATTCTTCTAAGTGTGTGTGCAGAATAGGGTTCCACAAAAACACCTTGTTCTAGGGGTACCGTGAATTGAAACAGTTTGAAGACCACTGAATTAAAAACTGAGTTGGTTATTTGTATCTGTTTGGTGGACGAAGGGTGGTCAGTAGGGGGGTTAGTGGTCAAGGTCATGGATTCGGGGCTGGCATGCCATGAGTTCGAGCCTAGTATCGCTGAAGACCCTCCGTATAGAGAACAAGGGTCTATACATCTTAAAATTGTCGAGGATCGAACGTCCTCCCGTTGGTGTTGTGTGAACGGGTAAAAATGTTAGGAAAGGAGCTGCCAGCTCAGGTGTCGTCCTCGTCACTTTATCATGGCTCAAAATTACGAGACCCATTACCAATAGCTCTCGTGCAGCTTAATAGTGCAACGTAATATAACTCAGCTTTTCTCAAACTGTGGAGCGTGCCTACTGAAAGTCGAAAACTAAATCTGATTTAAAAAATTATTAATTTACTGAAAGTAAGCAAAAGGCATTCTGATAAAAAAATAAAAATAACATTTACACTGATATAATACACTTATAAATGTATCAGTATTGCACAACGTTTTTAATTATAATTTTAACAATACCAAGTCAAGAACAAGTTTGATAATTGCCAGTGAGACCCCCATGGACGTGTCAGATATAAAATTATACACTTATTTTGATAATTTGTACGGTTTATAAATAATCCCTTCACTGCTGATTAAAAGTTAACGCAATTCGCTACTCAATGCCTCCATTTTCCACGTAGATGGGCGTATGTGTTGTATGGGGGGGGATTAATACGTAAGAAATCCTCTGATGTAAAAAAACCCTTCGCAAACACACACTGTCAATGTCCTTTGATTGCATTCCAAAGCCTTTGGAATAATTTTATGGATAACAGTGCACAAAAAAGATTGTGCTTCGGAAAGACGTAAATATACGTCCGCACCAGTTGAGTGAGATGTAACACCGGTGACACTTAAAAGGTTAAAGTTGTATTGTATCTTTAGCGTCAAAATATAGTATTATTGAATCTATGCATTGTTATTTGTGTGGAAAGGGGGCGTGATGAAAGTTATGATTGAATATTGGGTCGCGCAAATATTGAAAGTTTGAGAAGCACTGATATAACTCTCACCTCGCTTGGATGCAGTAGCCGAATAGTTGTCTCGAGCTAGTGGCTAGTACTATTTTTCTTAACCGTAGGTTCAAGTATCAATGCCACTTAAGATCTGCCGTATAGTAGGTCTGCTGCTCATCAAATCAGTAGAGGTTCAAGTGAGTGAGTGAATATTAACGTCGCACTATTTAGCTACTCGAAGATTTTTGGCGATTGACCTCGTAGTTTTCAACAATGTTCAAGTGACGAGGATGACACCTGAGCTGACATCCCTTTCTCCTAACTTCCACACCACACTAACGGGAGGACGTTTGAGCATTGACAGATTTAACGTGCATTGCCCCCCCCCCTACATTGCGGGCCTTCAGCGGTACGAAGCTCGAAATCATGACACGCGAGCCACAAGTAGCTCCTTGGTCCCTAGGCTACAGCGGCCCTGTAGTGGCTCAAAGTATTCCTATTGGTAGAGTGAAGTTTCATGAATTGGGTGTCAACTCAGGTATCATCCTCGTTATTTGAGCATTGCTTGAAATAATGAGATAAATCCCCAACAACCCTAGCATTGTTTCTGAGAGAGGAGATCGAGGTTAATAAATCATCTTGTCTGTTCAACAATTTCACACCAAAAGGCTAACAAGAATTAGATTGGCTTCATTTGCGTAGTAATTCCATTTATAAATCTTGAATTACACTCTGCGAATTTTTTAAGATAATGTATTTTTCAGTTACTGGATATTTTTAAAAATTATTAAATGTTTCTAAACTACTCGTGATCTTTTCAAACATAATTTTTAAAAACATTATATTATAATATTTTTACCAAATCAAACATTTTTATATTAACAATAATCTTTTTTGCTTGTATCGTATTCAACTTACTAGTTTAAATTTATTGCACAAAACCCAACTTTTTTTCCCTTTGGTTTTTGTTATCATAAACATATCTGATTTCAAGTAGATAAATGAAACTTTACAATTCTAATCTCTATTGTATGTTACCCGTTTAAAAAATAAATTTAAGAAGTACTTAAAGATACCATTATATGAAAAGCATTTGAAATGTAGCGGTGTTCTCGCATATTATTTTCTTGTATATTAAATATTTTTAAATAAGAGCTTTAATACCCAAAAATCAGTAAAGGAGGAAATAACTATTTCAATTCAGAGTATCTTTCGTTGATTTCTTAATACAGTTATTCTAAAACAATAAGTTTAGATTTAAACGTATTTAATGCATTCCGCCATTAGTTACAAACTGATATTTTGATCTTTTCACCTGCTGTCTTGACACTATTGCTCTTAAAGTTTTCAAAAATCCTACCTATTGCTTTAAAAATTTAGGTTTGAATTAATTATTCACGTATGAAAAAAATTCTTTTCGGGTACTGATATGCAATAACCTCTCTGTATGAAGCGACTGTATTTTGCACTTTTTTTGAAATGATGAATTGAATCATGAACAAACAAAATTGTCGTACATAAATGAAAAAATAAATATAAAATATAATCAAAAGGGTATTCAAATTGTTAATAAGTTAAAAATAAATCAGCCATGAAAAGTCAAAAACGAAATTTTAAAAAGTTTACAAATATAAGGAAGTTAAAGACTTAAAGCGAATTATACGTAAAATATTTTGAATGAATAAAATCTAAAAAACATTAGCTAATAGGAAACTTTTTATTCGAAAATGTTTAATCTTAGAGGTATCACAGAAAAACGCGCAAATCATGGTATTTTCTTGAAAAATATATACCGTATATTTTTCCGAATGTATAAGCTGATTCACGTGTATAAACCGAGAGTTCATTTTTTCTTACAAAATGTACTCGAAATTCAAAACCCGTATATATAAGCCGATTTACAGGAAATAAAAAAACCGTAATTTTCAACGTGTTGCCTTGAGGACGAAAATGTTACTAAGTGGTTAAATGGTGGAATATTTTCTAATCAAATTTTAGTAACGTGTAAAATGGGAACGTGATGGTAATTTTATTTATGGACTTTCTTTTTCTTTCAAAGGAGGCTATGGATTGGTAATTACAATTGCAAAACTAGTGCATTCCCCGGGAGAGGGCATTACTTTTTAGTGTGGCACCATATATGGAATATCAATTGCCAAAATGTATATTTGACGCACAGTTTCTTCCTCAAAGGAAAGGCGTCTGAGCTCTGTCTATGTGAAATTGTAAAAGGAATTTGATTTTGCCGGGAGCACCCAAACCAAAAAGTCACTTAAGGGATCTTTAACAAGCCGCATAATCACACGACATGGATGCTGTAAGTTTTTTGCACCGTGAAAATATACCGACTTGGGTCGGGGTCAAACCCTCAAACTTGGGCGTGCAAGGCTCTAGCACCTAGCCAACTACGCCACCTAGCCGGCATTTATGGATCCAAAACTAGCATATTTTCACTATTTATTTAATATTTTGTGCACTATCTTTGTTACTTTTACTATCTGCTCGATTTTTTTATTTTATAACTAAACGGTAGAAGAAACTTGTACTTGACATCTTTCAAGCCACTGTTTAGACATCCCTAGGAATGAATATGAATTTTACGAACTAATTGAAAACTAGGATTCTCACACTGACTTTGAAGATTTTTATATGACCTTTTTTTCAATTCTTACTTTTATTTCACTCTCTCCCTATATATATATAATCTTGTTCAAATTTTCAACCATTAATAAAATAGCTTCTTTTATATATTCAAGTTCAAATACATTTTTTAAACTTGTAGTGGATGACACTTGATGTTACTGCAGTTTTTTCAAATATTAAATCAATAATTAAATTAAAAAATGAATAAATAGTAACAAAAACAAAATAATAGTCCAAAAGCATATATAGAAAGGAAAATCGTTTGTTGTGTCCCTATAGCGTAATGGAGTAATGGATAGCGCGTTGGACTTCTAATCCAAAGGACATGGGTTCGGATCCCACATGGGATTGCATAATTTCTAAGAATGTGATTTCTTTTTGACAAAACTATTTTACTAGAATAATTAAATTTTATTAATGAAAAAATAGTTTAAAAAAATAGTTCAACCCCTATATACACTGCTGGCCACCGTAAATGCAACACCCCGAAGGAAGCACGCAAATAATATGAAATTTACAACATGCATTAGCGGAGGTGAGATATGCAAATGATTAGAATTTCAGCGCAGACACACATCACGCACACCTATGGCGCCACCTCAAAGTGCTATTTAAGGCTTGGAGATTTCGACGATTTCAAGTTTGGCAATTAAGTTTTTCTTGTGGTTTTTTCAAAAAAAGATCAGTTATGTCTCGTAGAAAACAGCGGTCAGCTTTTGATCAAGTATCCGAGTTCGAAAGAGGAAGGATAGTGGCCTACCGAGATTGTGGATTATCTTTCAGGGAAATCGGCAGTCGTGTTGGACGAAACCAAACAACTGTAATGCGGATATGTGACCGTTGGATGCAGGAGGGTACGACGGACCGACGTGGTCGATCGCATCCGCCTCAGTGCACCACTTCACGTGAGGACAGGAAAAATGTGCGCATGGCAGTGACGGATCGCTCAGTCACATCACGAACCATAGCACAGCACATTGAGTCTGTAACGCATCATTCAGTATCTGCGCGTACCATTTGACGCCGTTTACAGCAGAGTGGTCTGTCCGCAAGACGTCCATTGCTTGGTCTACCCTCGACGCAGAACCACAGACGTCTTCGCCGCCAATCGTGTGATGAAAGAAGGATGTGAGCGGCAGAATGCAATGAAGTTGTCTTTACTGACGAGTTACGCATCTGTCTACAACACCGCGATGATTGGATTCGAGTCTGGAGACACCGTGGAGAGAGCATGCTGAACAGCTGCGTTTGCACCGCCACACTGGTCCTGCACCGGGTATTATGGTATGGGGCGGTATTGGATATCACTTTCGCACTCCTCTAGTACGCATTGCCGGTACTTTAAACAGCCAGCGCTACATCTCCGAGGTGTTGGAGCCAGTTGTCCTTCCTTATCTTCAGGGCTTGGCCACAGCCATATTTCAACAGGATAATGCACGACCACACGTGGCACGCATTGTCCAAAGGTTTTTCGTCAATCATCAAATTGAATTGTTTCCCTGGCCGGCTCGCTCTCCGGATCTTTCGCCGATAGAAAACATGTGGTCCATGGTTGCTCAACGATTGACCCAGATTACACCCCTAGCTGCCACACCAGATCAACTTTGGCAACGTGTGGAAGTTGTTTGGTCTGCTGTGCCCGAAGAACACATCTAAAGTCTTTTTGAACCAATGCCGAGGCGGCTGACAGCGGTGATCTCCAACAATGGCGGCTAATCTGGCTACTGATTCTGGCAGGAACCAGACTTCACAGAGGTCTATAAATTTAATCATTTGATACTTAGTCAACATGTTATCTACAAAATAAATTTTGTTGTGCTATCTCTTGTCTTTCTTGGTGTTGTATTTACGGTGGCCACAGCAGTGTAGAAAGGAAAATGAGAAAAAGGGCAAGAGAGAGAGAGAGAAAGAAGGGAGGGAAATCGCTTTCTATTTTGCCACTTAATATTGTGATTCTGTCTTAAGTATATACATACTTATATTAATTGTAACTATTTAATAAAAAGTAACTAAAATAAAATTTATCTTTGTTGACCTAAGAAGGAATTAACTTAATTTTTTTATATTACTTGTTTTAAGTAAGAACTTCATTCACAAAACACCAAAAAAGTTAAATGGTTAAAATGGTATGCGCTTGGCTAACGAGAAAAAATTTTAAAAAATCCGCCCCCCCCCCCCTCCCGAGATTAATGCTACCGTATATAAACCGATTCCTTTACCTTTAAAAAAATGTTCCAATAATTCTGCCTTATACACGAAATTTTACTATGCACCATTTTCGATAATACAAAATTATATGCTACGTAGCTAAGGTATCCGACTACCATAAAATTGTGAATTTCACCAAAAATTGACCAATTTCTTTTGATTTTATTTGATAGACCATCTTATTAGCTTTATAAATATACCAAGTTTATTATTTTCCATTCTCTAAAACAAAAACTACAAATGTTTTAGTAAAAGCAGATCTTATTACTTTAAGCAAGATGTCATACTTTAAAACGCATTTAACTCTCGAAATGTGTTTTTCTGAAAATACTCAAATGGGGACAGTGTGTGATTGCTAAATAAATTTTGAAAATAATTAGCTGAATTTTTTTGTGTGTTCCGTATGATAGAATTGTTTTAACGTTCAGATTTATCAATCACTGTTTTATTACAAAATTTACAATCCTTTATGTGAATATAATCACTATTATTTTAAGAAATTTCATATAATAACTAAGATAAAGTGCTCTAATTTTTGTAAAAATTTTAATACTGCTTATCATGAAGGTCATTTTCAAAATGAATAACATAGCAACACATCAGAATTGAAAATTTGATCATAAACTTTTGGTACAGAATGCGCCCCGTTTATGTTACTTTTTGTAAATTGTTACCAATTTTTTCCCCACATTTTAGTATAATAATAATTTCTTTTTATCTTCTTTATTTTAGCCTTTTTTTCTTAAAATGCACTAAGCAAATCTAAGAACCACAAAAAAATCCCCTATCTCCATTCTTTTAAAAAAAAGATTGTCGCAAGTAGTCGGATACCTTAAATGTTATGCAAAACCGCCTTTCGAGTTAATAGAATAACAAAACCACTATCGATTGATCCTACCCGCACAGCTCTAGAATTGCGGAAAGAAAATCTTACTGAAATATTTGCAGTGTTTCTGTTACGAGACTGAATGATGTGGGCCTCTTAGGGAGAGTTGGCATGAAAAGATCTTTCAATAATAAAACAAAATGAAAAGGCTCGACAGAAAATCTTTTTGCATCATGGCAAAAAGATTAGTCAGATAAAGATTCGGAAAAAAATGTTTCTTTTTTCTTTCTGATGAGTCAGTTTGACTTCTTCGAAAGTGATGGAAGACATGTGGGAAGACTTCAAGGTTAAAGTGAGATTTAAAATACTAAATTTTTGCAATTAATCTCAGTGAAATACATGTAAAACTCAGTGTGTGATTTTTTTAAAAAGTGAAATTCATTTGAATAACTTGAATGAAATCATAAAAAGGAAGAGAGATCTCTTTAAGCCTGATTAAAAAAAAATCCAAAATAAGTAATTAATAATAATGAGAACTTTCTTGCACACACATTCTACTGTAAATCAGATTTTTAAAAAGATGTATGTCATTAAACTTTCACTATTATCTGGCTTAAATTTTGTGAGATCCGAGTTTGTGTATATTATTTACATCGCACTAAAGCTGAACGAGGGGTATTGGTGACAAACCTCGTAATTTTGAACCATGGTTAAGACAGAAGGATGACATCTGAGCTGGCACTATCCTCTCCTAATTTCCACACCACAGCAATGAAAGGACGTTAGAGCCTCGACATATTTAACGTGCATCTGTCTCCTCTACATTGCGGGTCTTCAGCGATACTAGACTCGAACCCATGACACGCAGGCCACGAGTCCGTGATCTTGACCACTAGGTTACCATGGCCACTAAATTTTGTCAGAAAAAGAGTATTGTACAGCAGATCTCCAACCCCCGGTCCGGTACAGGTCCGTGAATCAAATGGTACCGGACCGTCCAAGGAACATTAAATGATTTCTATTTTATTTACTGTGTTGCAGTGTTTCTCAAACTTCCAGTATTGGTGACCCAATTTTCAATCATAATTTTCATCGCGCTTCCTCCCATACAATAACAATGTATTGAATGTAATAATAATGTAAAGCTACAATACAAGCATAATTATACACCATACAAATTATCAAGTTAAGCATTAAATTTTGTACATGTCACTTTTAAGTAAAAGATATTTTAAACTAATTACTTTTCAATAATAATTTTTTTAAAAATCCTTTTTTTCCAGCTTCTTGATATGTTTTTGCCCCCTCACGTGGGGCAATTACGCCCCCCCCGCAGGGGGCTTGCCCCACAGTTTGGGAATCACTGCTGTTGTGTATTTCTCTCGAGTTTGTGTGACTTTTCATGGAAATCACTTTAGATTCCATGATAAATCACTTTAGATTCATTTTTCGATGTTACTGTGTTTTATTCATAAGGTATATTTAAAAACAATTAAATTAAAATTATTGAATTGAAACAATCTAAAATATAAACAATCAACGTCCCCTCCAGTGGTTTAGAAAGACAACTTTTATGGGAAGGATTACATTTAAAAAAAAAAACGTAGATGAATACATCGAAACAAAACAAAAAATATATGCTAAAAATTAACTGTCTACGGGGGGAGGGTAAACCTTGTATCACCTTCCCCTCAGCGGGTCGAGGTAAAATTATTAAACGTTGATTGGTCTGGCCGTGATAAAAAGTTTGGGGAGCACTGTTATAAAGTATCTGAGTAGTAAACACAAGACCCCTAAATTTCGGTTATACCTACTACTACCTCATTTAAACAAAACTATATAAACCCTATTTAAGTATACCTACTACTATCCTATTTTAAAGGAAATTGAAAAAAAAAAAGGATTAGGCTCAAATACTTTGAATGAAACAGAACTCTTTCTGATACTATACAAAATTGCTAAGATCTGTTATTATTTTATTTAGTGTGGCAGCAGAGAGAAACAAATTATAAGTTTTTGTCATTCTTTTTAATGTAATATTCGTATTTCATCACGAGTGGATGGAATGATTGCGTAATTTTTGTGTGAAAGCAGCTTATTTTACAAATGCAAATATTCAAAATTAAAATTCTTTCCGCAGAGTGTTTTCATTTCCCCGTTTTTTAAATAGTTAGTGAGTGAATGTTTATTAATGTCGCGTTCTCTCTCTCTCTCTAAAGCAGTGCAAAGGCTCTATAGACCTCTTTATTTATTAAATCACTCTAATACCAGGGTGGGCATTATTTCAACCACGATCGACCGGTGGACCGCTAAGAT